CAGGATCATGACCTTGACAACATATGTCAAGGTCAAGGTCATTGGAGGAGGCTCCCCTAATCTACATTTTTACCAAAATAAAAGTTTAAAAGAAGATAAATTGTATGATATAATTTTATATGAATATATGAGATAATACTAAGTGGTTTACACATTGTCTCTGTGTCTATTGTTAATGCTAAATGATGAAGTAAACTACAATACTCACAAAAGATAATCCGTAAACTCCTTAGTATTTTCGAAAGTAAATTTATAAGTTTATTTTCACTTACTCGACATGCGAAATCTGAGCATCTGTCCGTATTATTAAAAAGTTAAGGTAAAGGATCGATTATGATTGCAATAACCTCTACAATAAAATACGAGAATGATTGCGACTTACCTATGAAATATTACGTCCTGATTCTCTTTTCCACTTAAACGGCGGCAACTTTTAACACGACACGATAATGACATTGTAAATTTTGCAAAATTATGCACAAACGAACGTTTCACGTATCGCCCATATGGACTTACCGCGGCCATATTACAATAGTATAACCACGTGACCGTTTCATTCCGACGTCACGCTTCGTAATACATAAGTTTTGGAATCAATTTTTATGCACGGTATATAGGGAAGTTAGCGATCTAGTGTTATATAAATATCTATGGACTAAATGCGACCTACATTAGGCCCAAAAATATTATAGGTCTATATGCGGTAAACGCTCCATACGAGACCTTTCTTAGGGTGCTGTCCCATGATACGGAAATTATACCGGAACGGAACAGTGAGACCAATCAGAGCTCTGCAATCATTACTCTACTTTCCTTTCTGCGATTGTGATTGGTCTCACTGTTCCGTTCCGGTGTAATTTCCATATCATGGGACAGCACCCTTAGGTGGGATATAGGTTAGGGTATAGGTCAGGTTGTTAGGTGTAAACGAGGCCAATGGCTGATAGAGCAGATCACGTTCTGACGCGTGTAAGATATAGGTCGGTAAGTTGTAGGTAACCACAGCGTTATTGAATAAGTTCCGAATTTCTCCGAGAGACGGCGCGTTGCGAGTCGTCACCAACACTCCTAACTAGGTTGGTAGTACTAGTTGCCGCCGATTGGTGGAAAGCAATCAGGCTGACGTGATTGGCCGCTTGAGTTATTTTTGAAAGATTAACGGGTACTCAGAGTCTCTTTGTGACCTCCATCATGTAAACACCTCGAGTGTAACCGACGTAAAATATATCAGTGTTGTACCTAGTAAAGTGTGTGAGAATCTTTCCGCTATCCTCACCTCGAGTGTAGCCGACGTAAAATATATCAGTGTTGTACCTAGTAAAGTGTGTGAGAATCTTTCCGCTATCTAAGACATATCCCTTTGCTCTCTTTTGCCATTCCATTCCTACCTGACATTCCTAACTTATCCTTGTGAGCTTATAAATCGAGGTCCGAGGACGGTAATTCCGTCTGTCTTTATTCTTCTGTATTCCTTACAGTTTCAATTCAGAAGTGGGATGAACATTGATCATTGATCATTAATGTCTGATAGTGGTTTACTGATAATTGCCAGTATAGTGCAGTGAAGTGAATCACACATCTTTTTTGAATTTCGGGTCCATCACTTTCATGTTGCCATTGAATGTGCTATAGTTCGCCATTTTTGCTTGCTGTCGTGTTAATCGACGCCATTGTTTCGCAAGTGCTTATTTCGCTATGGATGCATTGCGTGCTAAGTATGAGAAGATGCTTCTCAAAGATCTCAAAGATGAGTTGAAGAAATTTAATCTTCCAGAGGAATCTACAAAGAAAAAATGCATAGATGTGCTTTTGGGTAACAATGCTTCTGGGTTTGAAAATATTCCTTCGATTACTTCCGATGGAAAAAGTATACCGGATATGGAAGAAGATTGTTTTTTGCAAACAGATCCCCCACCACGTACGAATATGTCTGACATGCTTCTGCGTCATTTGATGCAACAAGTTTCGATTTTATCGGATCGAGTCTCGCAATTGGCTCTTAGAATTCCGGATTTGCCGCCGAATACTTTAAATTGTGGCAATAATCCGCTATTACAAGAAATTTCGAATGCAACAATTGTGCCGCCTACCAGTGATACTCAACAAACCTCGCGGAATTATGCTTTTCCTGCTAACTTTGATGGTGAGAGTCGGTTCACGAATAATCGTTCACGGTCTCAGCGTTCAGAACTTGCCTCTATGCCACCGGCACAAGCTGTTTCTCTTTTGGCATCTCAATTACCAGCCTTTCAGGGAACGCAAGATGAAGATGTTGATATATGGTTGTCAAGAGTTAAAAAGATTGCATTGATTCACGGAGTCAGTGATAATGTCAAGTTGTTAGCTGCAACTCAAAAATTGCAAAAATCTGCTCGTGATTGGCTAGATTTGGATGTTGAAATAGTCAATGAATCATGGAATAAATTTGAAGACGCAATATCTAGACGTTTTAAGAGAAGAACTTCTTATCAGGATACCTTGCAAAAAGTGGAATCAAGAAAATGGATACTCGGCAAGGAGGAATTCCCACAATATGTGTTACAGAAAATGAAGTTGTTGCAACCTCTTCGTCTTCCTCAACGGGAAATCATTCAGTTTTTAATCAGTGGTATTACTAACTTTTCAATACGAAGCTCTGCCGCCTCGTTGGACGAGGAAATTCAATAGATGAGTTTTTGGATCGGATGCACAGTATTACCATGGCAGCTAGTGCAATGCCGAAGCGTAACTCTCCTGTTCCTTTGAGGAAAGATAAATTCCGAGATAAACAAGATTCTGCAAATACAAAGGAACATTAAAGCGGGGAGCACAGACTTTTGCATAACGCATAAAGCATGTGCATAAGGAATTTCATTGGTCCACTGACTCATGCATAAGAAAATGGACCAATCAAATTCTTTATGTATATGGTTTATGCGTTATGCAAAAGTCTGTGCTCCCCGCTTAAGAGAAGAAACCATCTTCACACAACACTTCCAGAAATTTAGTGTGTGCTTACTGCAAGCGTAATGGACATACCAAAGACAATTGTTACAAGTTGAAGAGAAAGGAGTCACCTTCCTCCCTTAGTACAGTGACCGTTGGTTCTAGCTCTCCTGGGGTGCGTTCGGAAACCTATTCCCTAGGGTAGGGTTTGCCCAAACTCGTTCGTAAACGTCATTTTTTCCCCATTTCCCATTCCCAACAGCGTTCGGAAACATATGGGAAAAATTCCCAGAGTATTCCCTGTGTACCTCACTCGGGAGTGCGGGAAAGATTACCTGTCTTGCGCAGTGCATCAAATCACACAAGTGCGATAACTTTCCAAGTAACATATTTACGTGTATTCTTTGAGGTTATATAGTCAAAGCGTGTATTACATACAAAACAATGAATAAAATAATAAATATTAGTAAAATATCACATTGTGTGGTAGAAAATACAGAGAAAACTTCGATCTTTGATACCAAAAAAAGAAAAAGTTCTTTTACAAGATAAAACAAGTAAATGCAATTATTTAAATTGTTTAATCCTTTTTATTAACGCATGTATTCTTATTTATAAGTTAATTATTTTGACGTAATTTATAGAGAGAGAGAGAGTCTGTAATAAGTTTAGTCTGTTTATTTACTATTAACTTTTCTGGAATATACATATATATGTATATGTATAAATAAAAAATGTTTTATGTATTATTGAGCTTATGGCATGTCTTCGCTACCAGTTTTTGTGCATGAATAGCTATCTTAATTTAATATGTGCATCAAAGCATCAAAACAATCATTTTCTATACATTTTACAATTGCATTATCCATTTTTCAGATGGAAACGTTATGTATGTTAGCATCAATGATGCTGTAATAAAAACATTTCTGTTAGACTACGGCTATGAAGTTTCTAATAAGAGCAATATAAGCAAATCTACAGAAAATTCAAATATGGGTTTATGTAACAACATTTTACAATCATCTACTGAAATTGCAACACAAAAAGAAACCCAGCAAGATTGCAATCCTAAACATTTTGATGACGTATATAACGCTTTTATAAAATGTGGTTTAAATAAAAAACAAATTTGTAAATTCAATAAGCATAAAAACCACGCACAAGATCTATTTTGTGAGGACTTATTAAAGTCCGTATTTTATTGTTAAAATATAAGTTTAAACGTTTCGGTCATAAAAATTTGACCATCTTCAGTATATAGTTAGGTTAATATAACATTAAATCAAACGCATATTATAATACAATATTCGCTTACATCTGTTCGCCGTATTACAAAATTTCTTCCTGGTACAATAATCTCAACATCGATATTCGTTCTTGTCTCAATGTAAATTTTCTTTCCAATTATTGCGAATTATTATTTTGAAGAAACATCGTTGGTAGACTATGTTTCGTTAAAAAATCCGTCAATTCTTGAGTAAAGAGTCAGAGAAAAATCGTACATTACACCAGTAAAGTCAAATATATTAGCTTTTTAATATATTAATTATTTCAAATATATTAATATATTTCAAATATATTAGCAAATATATTATTATTTCTTCAAAATAATAATTCGCAATAATTGGAAAGAAAATTTACATTGAGACAAGAACGAATATCGATGTTGAGATTATTGTACCAGGAAGAAATTTTGTAATACGGCGAACAGATGTAAGCGAATATTGTATTATAATATGCGTTTGATTTAATGTTATATTAACCTAACTATATACTGAAGATGGTCAAATTTTTATGACCGAAACGTTTAAACTTATATTTTAACAATAAAATACGGACTTTAATAAGTCCTCACAAAATAGATCTTGTGCGTGGTTTTTATGCTTATTGAATTTACAAATTTGTTTTATTTTGATGACGCTTTGTTAAATGCAAGTGGCACATCATGTAAAGCTACATGGACCCATAAAAGTACATTATTACTCATACATTTATATAGCAAGTACGAAACTCAATTTACATCCACAATGATAAAAGCTGAAGCAGTGTGGAAAAAAATTGCTACTGAAATGAAAGCTGGTGGCTACGAATTTTCATCTGGTCAATGTAAAGATAAAATGAAATACATGAAGCGCTGTTATTTAAAAAAAATAGACAACATGGGACCTAAGAGCACTGGTTCAACTCCAATAAAATGCGAATATTTTGATGAATTAGACAATTTATTTGGTAAAAAACCAAACGTTAAACCAGTCTCTGTTTGCAGCACATCAAAAGTAAAATGTCAAAGTATGTATACCTTCATTCTATTAATATTATGATGACTTCAGTGGACAAATTTATCTGTAAATTTTCTGCAAAATATCACCTTATGATAAAGAAATTGCAGAGTTTTACAATATTTTTTAATATCTTCTAAAAGAAAATCTTTTGATTTAATGTTATATTAACCTAACTATATACTGAAGATGGTCAAATTTTTATGACCGAAACGTTTAAACTTATATTTTAACAATAAAATACGGACTTTAATAAGTCCTCACAAAATAGATCTTGTGCGTGGTTTTTATGCTTATTGAATTTACAAATTTGATTTTGATGACGCTTTGTTAAATGCAAGTGGCACATCATGTAAAGCTACATGGACCCATAAAAGTACATTATTACTCATACATTTATATAGCAAGTACTCAATTTACATCCACAATGATAAAAGCTGAAGCAGTGTGGAAAAAAATTGCTGCTGAAATGAAAGCTTTTCACTCAAATAACACTCCTGACACTCGTCATCAAGATTCCTTATCCTATCCCAGACATCGTACATCCAAATTTAAGGCCGCATTCTCTTATACCGCCACAAAATTTTACAATGCGATACCATCTTTTATCCGATTATCCCCTTCACTTCCTTCTTTCCGTTCACGTGCTTCAAAATTCATATCAACTTTGTAATACTAATATGTAACACTGTATATAATCCAATAAGTTATAAACATTCATACACGTTCTCTCTGCCTTTTTTGTCGTACATCATACTACACTCGTAATTGTTATCTTTTATACTGGGAGGCTTCATATCAGCAGCTTTGCTGGTGCCTTGCCATTTTGTGTATACACATTTGTCTCACCAAATCTTTGTAATTTTTATATGCACAATAAACTAATAATATTAATATATAAGATTTTTAAAGAATTTATTGGCTCCTAGCCCTGTTTCTCTTTATTCTTTCTGTTTTTCTTTTTTTACAGTAAAAACAAACGAAAAAATTGAGATAGAAGATGTGGAAAATATTGACGTTAAAGAAGAGACAATTTTGAAAAGAAAAGGACAGAAAAGGAAGAATACAAGTGATGATTTACTAGCTAAGTTGAATAGTAGAGAAGAGGCCAAAGAGCGCAGACATCTTGAGAAACAAGCAATTCAAACGTGAAAGTATAACTGTTTTCCAGAACGTTATGAACGAGTTACTGAAAAAACTCTAAGATCAAGAAATACTTTTACTTAGAAATTCTTCAATTATAGTATTAATTAGAAGACCCAAATGTTTTATTATGTTTTAAATATTTTCCACTAGGTGAACCTGTGATATTCTTCGCGCTACGTTAACTGTGATTTATGTATTAACTTCTCTTTTCCGATGGCTTCAGGGCAAGCAATATATATTAAAAATATCTATAAGGTTAAAACATTAAGTACAAATTAATTATAATAAGTATAAAAAGAAGTACATATTTTGCGAAAGTTTGTCATAGATTATAGAAACTAAAGTCAGAAACTTAATGTTATATTCTTTTTATTTACACTCTAAGTATATTATTTGTTTTTGAAATCTAAAAGTTTATAAATATCTTTACGTTTAATTTAATTTCTATGTTTAAATACTATAATCTACCAAAGCCGATAACATTAATAGAATATGCAATGATACTCTTTCGGTTGGCTGTAATACAAAAAAATAAAAGAAATAACATTGTACACTACTACGAATTACTTAAAAAATTACTTGACCGTTGTATAGTACAAAGTATTAATGAAATTTTTAATATATACAAGTCAACAAAATTTTTTTGTAATTTATAGTAGTGTAAAATTTGCATATTTATTTTTTGAACAAATATGGAGTTTTTGATTTAATAAAACAATGATACAATTTTTTCATGTTTTATGAAATTTTATTAAACCCTGCCAAACTCTGCATATATATATACATATATAATATATAATATTACTCGAGGTTTCGATACAATTCTCTACACAAAGCATCGCGTCGACTGCTAGCGATTTCTCCATCTTCCATTCCCCTAATTTCTTCTCTTTCATTTTGTACATCATTCATTCCTTCATTTATATATTCATTCAATAAACTATCACCACTATCTATACATAAATTATGCATTACACAGCAAGCTATAACTGTTGCAGGTATCATATCAACTCTGTTCATGTCAAGATATTTTAGTCGTCGGAATCTTCCAAACAATAAAGCAAATGCTCTTTCAATTGTTTGTCTAGTTTTCGACACTGACTCATTAAAATGACGTTGCGCTCTCGTTAAATTTCCTCGATCAATGTATGGAGGAATACACCATTTTAAAACTGGATAAGCTTTATCTGCTAAAATAAATTCATTTCCAGGAAAATATTTGTTAACATTTTCACATATTAAATGATATATATCAGAATTTCTAAAAATTCTAGCATCATGAACTAAGCCGGGGTATCCTACAAAGCAATCAACGAATTTCATATCAGAATCACACATTGCTTGTAATGTTATGGCGTATTGACATTTACGCGTAATATAAACGTCTGGATTTTCCGAGGGTGCTTTTATTGGCACATACGTTCCATCAACTGCTGCAACAACACCATCAATACCACCCATTGCTTTAAATTTTTCTTTTATTCTTACAAGTTCTTCTTGCCTTGGCCAACAAATAACTTCAGAGGATACACTATTTAAAGTACCAATTACACGCTCAAAGCAAGCGAACAAGGTAGATTTGCTAATATCAAATCTTTCTCCAACAGACCTGTCCACAGAAATACAGAACAATATATATGAATTATTGAAATTACAACTGTTCTAATAATAAAAAAAACTATTATATTTCAATCGTGTGCAAAGTAACGACGAAAGTAACTGTAAATTTCGTTACCGTTACCCAAAAAATGTAACTCGTTACCGTTACAGTTACCAAAAAAAGAAAGTAACGCAGTTACCAGTAAAGTTACCAAAAAAGTAACTTGTAACTGTAACTTCGTTACAAGTAACGAGTTACTTCCATTCCCTGAGTTTAAATACGTTCATGTTGTACCATTTTCAAGCACAGATTCCATTGTATTAATTATGCTCATAATTTTGTTGTCGCTGTTACACTTTTTTAAACGTTTTTAATGGATTCGATTCAATAATTGCCTTCAACTGATCGTTATCAATGGGTACTTGCCGTTCCAATCTCTTTTCATCTTTAAGGCTCTTATCTCCGTTACGAAATTTGTGAAACCATTATTGTACTACCCGCTCGTTTGTAGTTCCCGAACCAAATGCTTCATTAATTATTCGATTCGTTTCCGCTGCTTTAGAGTCTATAGTTTGAACTCGTACAAAAAAATTACTCGGAATTGCTCCTTCTTCATTTTTAATATTATTGATAATAATTTAATGCAAGTAACACCGAAAACAAAATTATGAGCATAATAAATACAGCGGAATCTGCGCTTGAAAATAATATAACATGAACGTAATTGAACATAATCTTAGTGTACTACAATAAAACGTCAAAATTTAAAACAAAAAACCCGACATTATTTTTGCATAAACCTAAGTACACAAAGGTTAGTAAAAAGTTCAGACCACTAGGAAGTTTTCTGAAATTGTGGAAACAATTTACGATTATAAATTTGTTATAACTTTTGTTTTATTAGAACACAAATAATTTTTTATAGATTTTTTCAGATTCCTATTCAGATGTACTATATAAAGCAGATAAAAAATATTTATATTATTTTCCCAATTACTGTGTCAAAGAAAATAGATATTAGATAGATATACATTTATATGTATATTTTACACATTAAATACATACCGATAAGAATCAGGAGTTGCTAAGAGCCAAATCACTGAAAGTAATTGCTTCTCTACTGACGTTGTTGGCCTACCAGTGTCCAAATTATTTTCCAAGTTTGGACCAAGAATTGTCAATAAAACTTCAAATGTGGTACGTGTAATCCGAAAGTGAGATTGGAATTGATGATTTGTATAATTTGATACAACTCTCTCAATATATCTTTCAATACGCTGTATCTTCTTCCTTTTAGCGAACTTCTATAATAAATAAATATTATAATATAAAACATTCTGCACAATAACAATATACGTAACTAACCTTTAAACTGCAATAACTAACCTTTAATAATTCTTCAATTTCACTATCCGATGAAGATGACGTTTCTGAATATTCACAATCTTTTATAAGTTGTATCCCCATAACTATTGCAGTAGCAATAATTATACTTTTTGTTTTTGAATTTTCTGCCATTTTTTCCCTCAGTCTTTACCCTAAATCGTTCGGCAAGGATTTCGTTTCTCATCGACCGCCATATTTACCCAAGTGGTCACGTGACGTTTCCTCACAAAGTTAATCCCTACTCTGAGGAATAGGTTTCCGAACGCACCCCTGCTACTGTGGCTGCGACATCAGAGGAGTCTGTCACGGAATCCCCTTCAGCTCCGGAAGAAAGTATATCTGCAGTTGGTTGCGTAAATGATAATACTCAGCGTCAACTTGAGATAAGTGACCAGGTTACCGAAATTGAAAAAGTGAATAATACTTCTTGTAGTTTACTTGCTCTCTTAGATACCGGAAGTCCCGTGTCTTTTATTCAAGATTCTGTTGCTAAAATTCTTTTCGGTCAAAATAATACTTTTATGAATCAATCAAATAAAAAATTCCGTACATTAGGTAACTCTCTATATGTTTCAAGTCTTAGGTACTAAAGAGGTAAATATTTCTCTGTCTTCCTTACCTGGAGTTACATTAAATGTTTCTTTTTATGTTATCAAGGACGATAATTGGTCTACTCATGTAGTTTTGGGAAGAGATTTCCTTGTCACAAATAATTTAACATTAGTATACAGTCCTCTAACTTAAATTCGCGCGAACGTTTACAATTGATTAGTGAAGTAGCTTCAGCAGATATCTATGAATCTGATGTAAAGGACGAATTAATTATTAATTGTTCAAGCGTTAAGTCTGATTTTGGTTTGAAAATAGATGAACAAGTCTGTGATATTATTAAAAATGTCAACGATACACCGGTAAACAAGCCTTCTGATGATTATAATGTAAGGATATCTCTTAAAGATAATTCTATTTATGCCTTTGCCCCCCGTCGTTTCGCATGGGCAGAACGTGTTCAATTACATGCAATTATTGATGATTTGATGCAGCGTAATATAGTGAAAGTGAGTACGTCACCGTACTGCGCACGTGTAGTTTCAGTTCGTAAAAAGAATGGACAGTTGCGATTATGCGTAGATTTGCGCCCGCTTAATGAACGTATTGTTAAGCAAAAATATCCGTTTCCGTTAATAGAAGATTGTCTTGCTAGACTAGGTGATAAGAAAATATTTACTCTTTTAGATCTCAGGGATGGATTTCATAACATATCCATTCATCCGGATCATATGAAATATTTCGCTTTTGCAACACCCGATGGGCAATACGAGTATTTAAAACTTCCATTTGGTTATTCTGAAGCACCCGCCGAATTTCAGAGACGTTTATTACAAGTTTTACAACCGTTAATTTCGCAAGATAAATTGTTAGTTTATATCGATGATATTTTAATACCTTCTATTTCAATTGACGAAAACCTTGAAGTGCTACGACAAACTTTAACACTATTAAAACAATATTCATTTGAAGTTAATTTCTCAAAGTGTCAATTTCTGAAATCCAAGATCGAGTATTTGGGATATATTTTATCAGATAATGGAATTACTCTTAGTGAAAGACATGTAGAAGCAGTGAAATGTTTTCCTATTCCCAAGGATGTACATCATCTGCAAAGATTCTTAGGTTTAATTAACTACTATTAAAGACGTTTTATTCGTAACGTTGCTCTTACGGCTAAACCTTTGCATTCTTTACTTAAAAAGTCATCTACTTTTAACTTTGATGATGATTGTTTACGTGCATTTAATTCATTGAAAGCTTCTTTAGTTTCTTTTCCAGTTCTCAAGCTTTATAATCCGAAAAAATCTACTGAATTGCATACAGATGCTAGCTCTATAGCTATCGCTTCTATTTTATTACAAAAACAGGAATCTGGTTTATGGGCACCAGTAGCTTATTTCAGTCAAGCGACTAATGCAGCCGAAAGCAAATACCATTCGTTTGAACTTTAGATGCTTGCTGTAGTCAAGTCAATTGAACGTTTCCATATCTATCTTTATGGATTGGAATTTACTGTTGTTACAGATTGCCATACAGTAGTCTTTGCGGTAAATAAGGCTAACTTAAATCCCCGCATTGCTCGTTGGACACTCCGATCACAAAGTTATACTTTTAAAATGGTACATAGAAAAGAAGAAAAAATGACGCATGTAGATGCTCTTAGTCGTGCTGTCGCTCCTGTGGACGTTATGCCACTAGAAAAAGAATTAGAATTTCGTCAAATTGCTGATCCGCATATCCGTCTCATAGCAGAATTCTTAGAAAAAAGTGATCACGATAATTTTGAACTATTCAAAGGTTTGGTATATCGTAGATTTCCAGATAAATTACGTTTTTATATTCCTGAATCTATGATCGTGAATTTATTACGTGTTTATCACGATGAGAATGCTCATTGCGGTATTGAAAAAACATACCAAGGTTTATTTGCTAATTATTGGTTTCCTTCTATGAGGAAAAGAATTCAACAATATGTAGAAAACTGCTTAACGTGCATGATGTCAAACGTATCGTCTCATGTTAAAGAAGGTGAGATACAATTATCTCCTTTACCTAAAGTTCCTATGCATACAGTACACATCGACCATTTTGGTGCATTGCAAGTATCTGATTCTGGTCATAAACATATTTTTATAGTAATAGATTCTTTTACTAGATTTACTTGGTTACTTCCAGTCAAATCAATAAGGTCTAAAGAAACCATTAGTGAGTTAACTAATATCTTTAACATTTTTGGAAATCCAGTCGTACTTGTTTCAGACAGAGGTACTTCGTTCACCTCTCAAGAATTTAAGTCTTTTGTGAATGAGCGTAATATTAAATACCGTCTTATAGCTGTAGCCGCCCCCTGGGCCAATGGAATTTGTGAACGTGTTAATCGATTTTTAAAATCTTCAATGCGTAAGCTAGTCGATGATCAAGAAACATGGTCAGATAAAGTTGCAACCGTGCAATATATAATTAATAATACATTCCATAGTTCTATTAAAAATTCCCCGTCTATGTTATTACTTGGTTACGAGAAAACTAATCAAACTGATTCTCCGTTAATTCGATTCTTGAATGATGTTTTAAAGTCAACATTATCCGATCAATCGATTGAAGATCTTCGTGATCAAAAGCGTGATATCGCATATCAAGCGACTGATAATCTTAGAAATTATAATAAGTCGTACTATGATAAGCATCATAAAACTCCGTCCGTTTATAAACCCGGTGACTATGTACTGGTACGGGATACTTCTAATAAACCCGAAGAAGAAAGAAAGTTCAAGACATCCTATAAAGGTCCTTACTTAGGGTGCGGTCGAGTTGCCATTACGAATGCTTCGAAGCGTTTGATTAACCAATCAGAAGAAAGAATTTTACAAATTAACCAATCAAGAAACGCTTCGAAGTATTCGTAGTGGCAACTCGACCGCACTCTTAGTAGCTAAAGCTCTAAATAAAAATCGTTAC